TATAAGTGCCGACTCTATTAATTTATAAATGTTTAAATGTACTCTTAGTATTCTAACAAGTTTCGTGCCAATTATATGATTTTAAATACACTGTCCCAAGGTATATCGAATTTTACTTGAAAGTTGGTTATATATCAATTCGATTCATGTGAATAAAATGTCGATTGATTTAAATATAAACATGAAAGAATAGATTACTGATGATTTTATTTTATTTTTCTTTTAATATTTTGAAGAAACATGTGAGAATAGTTGAACATATATAATTATTAATATAAAAATTGGCCATCATACTGGAAGCTAAAATTACTACGAAGGGCATATTCCATTTAGATTATTTTTTTCATTAGAAATAATGAACAAATACTTAATAATAATAATAATAATAATAATAATAATAATAATAAATAAATAAATAAATATCTGCATCTCCTAATATATTAAACAGTGTATATTTATCTGATCGATGTATTAAAATATTTTATTCACCTCTAAATTATCTCGGAGTTAGGGCCTACCCAGGCTTCGATGTGTTTAATGCAAGAATAAAAAATAAGGTTCCTTTTTATATTTTTAATATAAAATAAATTTATACGTTTAAAATATGTTTGCCTCAAATTATCTCTCCATTAATCACTTGATTTCTAAAAAATAAAATAAAAACTAATATAATTCAATCAACCTAAAAACCTTAATAGCATTGTAGACGCATAAAATTAATTAATTGGTTATTTAAATTAGCCAATTAAATTGTGTCTAAATTAAATTATAATTTATCTTACAAAATAAGTTATGGAGATAGTTATCAATTAAATTATTGGCCAATAGGATTATTTCTTCTCTTCCAAGTTATAAGAGATAAATATCAATTTAAATAGAGCCAATCAAATCGCGCCACGTCATCAAGTAGACTTTAAGTAGGAATCTTATTCTACCACTATAAATAGGGACCCTCTCTACACAATTCAAAACACAACTCAAGAAGAAGAAAAATCGTAGGAGAAAATTCTCTCTACAATATTCAAGTCATTCTTCATCAAATTCAAGGCGTTCTTCATCAAATCGAGGGCGTTCTTCAACAAATCAAGATCGAAGGAAGATTGAAGGGTCAAATACATCAAGAACTCCAAGATCTTCAAGTCAAAACCCGTCAAAGTTCAGCGTTTCGATCCGAGATTCAAGTCGCAAGACCCTCGGAAGACGTTATTTAAATCCAAATCAAATCCGGAGAAGATCAAGTCAACGACCCGTCTCCGAAATTCAAAGTCAAACACATATTGTTCTTGAGAGAAGAATCAGAGGATTAAATTAGAGTTTGTAACCCGCAATATTTTATTTTAATTCAATAAATTATTTTTGTGCAAGTTTTTCTTGTTTGTCTAAATCGCAGATAAGAATTTGTTGTACACATTTTGGCACGCCCGGTGGGACTTCTCTACCTCTCATCTCTTCTCTCTCTCGAAGTTCCTCGAAGTGTTGCAGTGACTGCTCTACGTTCGCAATGAAGGCTGCTACTTCGGATTCATCAAGTGTGGGTGTATTTACAAGGAGTATGGCTAAGAATGTGCAAGCATCCTCCGAGACTAGCTCAACCCCCCAAACCATTGAGAAGGGCTTACCACCTCCTGTCAACACAAGTGCAGACGTAGAAGGTTCAAAACGAGAGACTTCACAGCCCACGCCTCGTTCAACATCAAGCTACTCAGAGGTGGCATCCGTCATGACAACTAACGCTACAACCATGGAAGAGCAAATTGCAAGTTTGGCCAAGGCTATTGAGGGACTCACAAAGCATGTTCAACAACGAGATTCTCAAATTGCCAAGTTGATCGAGAATATGAACAAAGCCGATGCTAGTCAAGTTGTGGATCAGATAGAGGCTCAAGACGAAGTCGAGACATCCACAAAGCAACAGCCAGTTGAAAACGAGAAGACTCCAACTCAAGATTTTCAAGTTTCTCCAGAAGGGATGATTCATGTAGATCAAGTGATGACGCTGATCAGTGGAACCATCAAAGACAAGTTGGAAGGAAGCTCGAAGTCTCCATCAACCTATGTCAAGCCATACACGCAAAGGATTGATGATCTAAGGATGCCAATGGGTTATATACCTCCAAAGTTTCAACAATTTGACGGCAAAGGCAACCCCAAGCAACATGTGGCACACTTCGTCGAGACTTGCAATGATGCCGGGACGTACAGAGATCACCTCGTCAAGCAATTCGTCCGATCACTCAAAGACAACGCGTTTGATTGGTACATTGATTTGGGGGCAAACTCTATTGATAGTTGGAAGCACTTGGAGGAAGAATTTCTCAACCGCTTTTACAGCACTCGAAGAACAGTCAGCATGATTGAGCTCACCAATTCCCGCCAATGGGAGAAGGAACCCGTCATCCACTACATCAACCGTTGGAGAAATTTGAGTCTTAATTGCAAGGATCGACTGCCTGAGACATCATCTATTGAACTGTGCATCCAAGGAATGCAATGGGGACTCCGATATATCCTTCAAGGAATTCAACCTAAAAGTTTTGAAGAGTTGGCCACTCGAGCACATGATATGGAATTGAGCATAACTGCAAATGAAGTCGAAGAACCTTCATTCCAAAAGTCGTATCAGCTCAAAGAAGAACATGTTGAAGAAGAACAGGAAGATCATGAGGATGGGGGCAAGTCTTTTGAAGAAACAACATCCTATGCAATATGACAAATCAAGTGAAACACTCCTTGACACGAGTTTAAAAGGTTTACATGTTCAAATCAAATGAAGCACTCCTTGACACGAGTTTAAAAGGTTTACAAGTCCAAATCAAATGAAATACTCCTTGACACGAGTTTAAAAGGTCTACAAGTCCAAATCAACTGAAGTACTCCCTGATATGAGCATAAACTATCTACATATCCAAGTCAAATCAACGCTCCTTGATACGAGCATAAACTATCTACATATCCAAATCAAGTCAAGGCTCCTCGATACGGGCATAAACTATCTACATATCCAAATCAAGTCAAGGCTCCTCGATACGAGCATAAACTATCTATATATTCAAATCAAGTCAAGGCTCCTCGATACGAGCATAAACTATCTATATGTCCAAATCAAGTCAAGCCTCCTTGATACGAGCATAAACTATCTACAAATTCAAGTCAAATGCTCCTTCAGTACGAGCTTAAACTGCAAATGTTTCTCCTTGTCCACATGAGTATAAACTGTGCACGACATCCCTCAAAATGATATATTTTGAACTACGTTATGACTTGATCCCTTTATAGGGTACGTAGGCAACTTAGAATCTCTCTAAGTTCAGTCATGATTTCAAAAGATATATGTTCTTTGCTAG